GAATAGGGGAACCCATGGCTGATATGTAGAACTGAATGGTATTGTAAAATAAAATATATATATATATATATATATATATATATATATATATATATATATATATTAAAAAAAATCCCAAAGACAACACACAAAAATTGCAGTATCCAGACTCTGTGTGTTTCCCATTTTTACATGTATTACTGTATTTTTTATATTACTTTTACTCTCTCTTTAAAGACTTTATTTTTTAAAACTATTTATTTCTTTATATAACTCTCTATATTCTTTGTCTTCTCCCTTCCAAGCCTACATTCATTTTCATACACACTGTAAACCGTTTAGAGTTTTATTCCATCTGAATCTGTCTTATTGTGAATCTATCTTTTTCTGACCAGGAGAGATTTTAAACTGCTAAACTGGGTGGCTAGGACGAAAGCGGCAGCCTTGGCTGCTGACTCTGCCCCTCTCCGCTTTTTAACAAGGCGGAGGTATGCTACTGCCAGCTCTCGGAGCCCTGCTCACTCACCACCAACTCCGGGAAGCAGTGGGTCTGTGCCTCCATCAAGGCCCCCCCCCTCCTTTTTTTTTTTGTGCTAGAAAAGGCTACATCTGCCACCCAGTATGCTGTGCTGCTTGGAGACACCTCTGTGTAAGGCGGCGGGAATCTGCCCTGCTGTGCTTAAGCTCAAATGCCACAGCTTCTCTGTGCCTCACCCCCAGGAGATACAAACTAGGAAGCTGCCCTTGGCTCCGTTTTAGAACCCTTTTTTAAAGCTTTCTCAAGTTTAGGGTGGAAATTCTTGCCAACATGTTTGGTCGCCAGTGTCCCACTTCATTTTTTTTCTCTGGCTGAAAAGATATGAGGTATGGTTTAAAGTCTGAAACAAAGATAGTCTGTTGGTTAGAAGAAAAGCTTCATGACTCAGTATAAGTGCTTTATATACTTCAGTAATTACAGGTCGAGGAATAGAGCTTGTAGAGTGCTTCATTAACATGAACAAAACCCTAGGCTGGATTCTCAGCACAAAAGAAGTGACTGCAAGAGAGTCAAAAGTTCAAGGTCATCTGTGATACCTCAGTAAAACCCCCCACTCTATCCCCTACAGACAAAGAGAAGCTTAAACCAGGATTCCTAAGTGTAGATAAGAACTTAGACCCCTTTTCCCCAGGTGGCTGTATCTGCTACAGGGACTTTGGAAAACAGTCAGGATATTCGAGCAAAAGACTAAAAAGGGAGGCGGGTTAAAATAAATTATA